ACTGCTGGTCACCATAGCAACACCGACAACAGTCTCGCCTAGCTAGTAGCTAACGAAACGGCAAAGAGAGAGATTTAAGATGAACATCGATAATTTAGAGACGAATGGACTTATTTGTGTTTATAATCACTCCCGCTGGTTTCCTGATACGTTTAATCTGCAACGAGAAACTGACAAACACTAAAAAGTGACTAAAAGTTGCTTCTTGTTCTCCAGCTTTTCATTCAGATTTTCCTGTTCCACCTTAAATGCTGCAGCAGTTACATTCTGGGGCCTCAGTCACTGTTTAAGGTAGAACTGGAAATTTCAAACAAGAAGCTGGCGAATGAGAAGCGACTTCAGCCTCGTAAAAAGTCAAACGTTGAGAGACGTTTTACAAGAAACTGTTCTAGTTTTGCTGAAAGTTTCCTGCCAGAGATGCGAGAAAATCTTCTATAGCTGAGCTAAACCTTAAAGCAGAGCAAAGTGAGTCTGCGTTTTCATTTAAATTATAGTTTTTATCCTATACAAGCACATTAACACATACTGAGACATATTTACAGCCAAGATGGTAAAATGGACATAAAATGTCATGTTGATTTTTGTTGAAAGGACAAAATGGCTCTTCTTAACATTTGGGTTGGCGACTCCTGAAGCAAAAAATACGAATAATGAATACAGTGAAAACATTTACGTTTGTGTTTTGCTGTCGTAGTTTTTAATAAGGCTACATGATATAGACCATATACTAATATATATTATTATATTGCGATGATATTGCTTCGTTTTGCAGTATATCTTGCCACATATAATTGATTCACCGATGCATTTTAATGTGACACGTTTAAAGACCGGCCTGCATTATTTTGAGCAAAATAATTAACGTTTGTTAGATTGGATTTGTTGGATACATCAGAACATCCACAGGGACTCCTCCAGGGCTGTGATTGGTCAGGGTGCTCACAGCACACAGTAAACATTGTGATTGGTTAGAGACTTATTTGGATTTTGCAGCCTCCTGCAGTCGATACTGTAAAGGCTAATATCACAATTACAGTTAACGATGTGCAGGTCTTCAACATACGAGCTGATAAAATCCTGTCAGTCGTCAGGTTTCTCGCTCAGAGAGCTGTATCCCCCCATCAGGGTCTAAACCCATTTAACCCACTTTGCTTGTTGCGTCCTGAGCAGCATGCATGATAGAGGCTTGTGTAACGCCTCTGTCGAGAACCAGTTCCATCCAGTCGAGGTGCTGTCTGGACTGGGGGCTTCTGAAGATGGGAGCGTCTGGAATTTTCCGGCTCCTGCCGCCTCGATTACATAAGCACTCCCCCAATCTGGAGCAGAAGGGAGACGCTCGCTGCCTCTCGCTCTGATCCTGCCGGCCCGGTGAATAAAGATGAGGGCAGGGAGCTTCAGCAGAGTCTGATGCACTCCTCCCGTACCTCCGTATTTCATCCTATCTTCACACAGGCACACATAACTCACATTCAGGGACTTAAAGGGGAATTCCACCCATTTTTTTCAACATTTCTGCATTATTCAGTGTTTGAGATGTAAACAGAGTGATTCAGAGTGGTTTGGTGTGAAATGGTTCAGATGTCTTTACAGTGGTGGTGATAGGAACCAGGGGTCGCCGTGACCACAACACAAATATACACATTTTATTTACTATCCAGAACGTTTTCAGTAATGTCGAAATGTTTCAGCTGTACTGCATACCTACTGGAATTAAAGTACTAAAAAGAGTTTGAAAGAGATAACGTAGCAATATAATTGCAACACTAGTATTATATAAAAATCACAATAATTCAAGACATTTTCATGACACACGATATATATCACAATATTTTCTGAGATTTCATAAATAAGAACGGACAGTGTTGAACCTGTAGTGCCACTTATAAAAAGTACTACTGACAGTATCCATGATATACCCAGAAAAGCGTATTGTGACATAAATTATCACAACAGCAATGAAATATTGTCATATTGTCGACCACTAATTTGCATTTTATCCATATTGTGCAGACTGTAATGTAAAACTAGCATTCATATGTCACTCATGGTGTGAGTCTGTACATATATGGTAGACTGAGTGAGGACTCTGTTGTTGAGAGGGGAATGTGGAGCTTGTCTTTGTTGATCCTGGTGGCAGTATGTGTGCGTCTGCATGCGTGTTGGATGTTTTAGCATCACCTCCGAGGGTCTGCGTTAGTCCCCATCCTGCCAGCCCACTTGAAGCCCCAGCAGTGGGGCTGGACAATTTGTGGAAAATCTCTAATTGCAATTTTTCTGAGTGATACTGCGATTGTGATTTAAATTGCAGTTATTGTCTATAAATTAAGGTTTAGGCCTGTTGTTTTGGGCCAAGAATATCCACTTTTTCTGGTTTAAGCCTTGAACCCTGAATGTGGTGAGCCAGACTGCCAGTCAGTTGTGGTTGTGATGTTACAACACTTGGAGATTTGGTTGCCTCTGATTGGTCTAACTCATCTACAGGCAGTTCACAAGCTCTGTGTTATTAGGTTAAGTTTCCCCTCTTGAATCTCAAGATAGCGTTATTGATAATGTAGACTGTAGTGAAAGAAACCAGCAGCTCTTGCGATTTGAAATTACGCTCTCCTAAATTGTGATTTTGAGATAAAAACAGCCCCAGCAGTGTTCTCCCATTATTCCGGGAGGAGTGTCACTGTAGCTCAGGCCTCCACTGCTGGATTTAAATGCTATAAAAACTAAATAAATAAAAATAAATAAATGAATTGAGTAATTTCAAGTAGAGGTGTGAAAATGTACCAGTGCATCATCATGCATTGATATGCAGGTGAGTATTCAGCTGAAGGCTTTAATTGCAACCACTATAATTTATTATAATATTAAATAAAGTATGCACTTTTCAGAATATGTAAAACGAATATTGATCAAAAATACTTTCATAAACTATGAATGTAACTAAATCCTGCACTTAAATCTCATAGAACGGGTCTAATTGTGCTCTTTTGTAGTGAAACGTGCAGCTGTTCGGTGGTTTTTAAGCACTGACTGTATCCACACTACTCAGAAAAGTGTATCATGGCATAATAATTTTGCTGATTAAACGATGCATACAATTTTCCTGGAGACTTAAAATCAGACTAAATTATGGTCAAATTGTGGTGAAAGGTTATCTGATTCACTGAATCATTTCTTAAGGAACTGAAATCAAACTGAATCGTTAAATTTCCCATTTTATGACGCTTTGAATCGTTTCCCCCTTCCTAAATTAATTGCGCTGAAATTTGAGATTTTTTTTAAAGTGACCTTTATTAATCCCACAACGGGGAAATTTCACCTCCGCATTTAACCCATCTGTGCAGTGAAACACCACATACACACTAGTGAACACACACACTGGGGGGCAGTGAGCACACTTGCCCAGAGCAGTGGGCAGCCCTATCCACGGCGCCCAGGGAGCAGTTGGGGGTTAGGTGCCTTGCTCAAGGGCACTTCAGTCACGTACTGTCAGCTCAGGGGATCGAACCGGCAACCTTCCGGTCACAGGGCTGGTTCCCTAACCTCCAGCCCACGACTGCCCCATACATTATATGATATTATGCATTGTATCTTTCCTAAATAATCATGATCTAAACAAATTGTGGTAAAATTCAAGATTATATGATGCATTGAATTAATTCTTAAAGAATTAGAATCCAACCGAATCATGAAATTTGCCATTTTATGATGCTTTGAATTGTTTCCTGAAGAATCAGAATCAAAATGAATTGCTGAAATTTGAGATTTATATTATATGATGGATTGAATCATTTGCTAAAGAGCTGAGTCTTTGTGAGATCAAAGGTTTACACCTCTAATCTGAAGGCTTGTCGAGTTGCTGAGCCGCGCTGTAATTATGTGCTGCCGCTTTGCTGCATGTTGCGGCTGACCGATGGCACATCTGCCCGGCTGGTGCAGACCTGCTGCTGGGGCTTTGTGGAGCTGTCCGTACACTGAGGTGCTGAAACCTGACCTCAGGTCAGGCTCTCATGTCGGGCAACTCCGTGGTGCGTTGTTAGGACGTCCTGTTGAATGAAGTGTTTCTTGCCTTGGAGCCCAAACTGAGTCAGATCTGATATCTATGATATTGTGGATAACAGAGCCCAGGGCACACTTTAAAGGCAGGTGATCTGTATGGGACATCAGTCTGAACAGATCAGCTCCTAAACTGACCGGCATGCGCAAAAGAGCAGAGCCTCACGCTGCTTCACGGCTCATCCAGAGGTAAACAGTCATGACTATGAACGAACGCCAGTTGCTCCCGGAGGATCAGCTTCATCTTCACCAGCATCACAGGAGCCATCATGAAGCTTCACTGACTGACAGCTGGGCTCATCACCCAGCTCGCCGTAAAAAGGGCACTCAATTAATTAAAATTAATTGTGACATTGATTTGAGGTCATATCGCCCAGCACTAGGCTGAACTATTTGGAGAAAGTATCTGATTGTAATTTTTCTGACCAATATTGCAGTTTAAATGCTGTTATTTTCATTAAATTAAACTCCAGATGTGGCATGGATTAAACAGTATTTAATTATAAACATACTTAAATGCTGTAAGTTTCATCTTTGGCATATCTGTACAATCAGAATCATGTCTGAAAGGAGTGGAGTAGATTAGAGTGTAGTGATTTAACAGCCTGAAAAAATGCTTGATTTGTGGTTAACTAACCAAAACTGAAACACTGCCGTTTCATTGGCACCCTGCTGAAACAACTGCATGAATTAGGATGCATTTCATGCAAATGATATGTAAATGAGGCACTGGCAGCCCGGCACTTGATTTTACGCACTGAAGCCGATTCGTCATTTGTGCTCAAATCTCTATTTGTTTCTGTTTGTATTTGTGCAGCCAGATTTGCATGCCTTTTTATGCAAATTTGAATGTCTTTTTCTCAGTGTGAAAGAGCTTTTATTTGTTTGTTTGTTTGTTTTTGTTTGTTTGTTTATGATTTTCTGAACTCTGTGCTCTCCATATTATTCCCCAGGTGACGTGAAAGGTGGCTGCTGTGGACTGCCTCTCTGCCTTTCTCTCTCTCTGTCTCTCGTCTCTGTTTCTCTGAAAGCTGCTTATGGCGTCGTCTCTTCTCAGCCGTCAGCTGACGCTCCCCATTCGGCACAGCCTGCGTCTCGCGGCTCCAGGGTAAGACCCCCCATATAGAATGACTGCACAATATGGACAGAGGTGCTGTGTAGTGCTGCATATTGTGATAATCCTCACATTGAATATTCAATAAAACACAATGAAGTCAATAATTAAAGTGGCCAAAAAAAAGAAATAGGCTTTTGAACAGTAGATGGTTTTAGCCTTTTTACCTCCAGATTAGGCGGAATCCTCAGACTGTTGCTTTCGATGAAAAATTAATGATCAGTTTGAAAAAGCATCAATAAATGTCATATTTGCAGTCGTAAAACAAAATATGATAACGATAACAGTAATTATAATGAAAAATATTATGGTGCTTGTAAAAAATAATCCTGATTGTTATAGTAGTAGTTTTAGTAATAGTAATAGTAGTAGTAGTAGTAATAATAACAGTAATAATAATAATAATAATAATGTTTTGTAAATATACTCTCATTCTGAAACTGATGCCTGCAGTATGAGTAGGAAAAGTTGGGACAGGAGCCGTTTTAAGACGAGGAACTTTTAAAAAATCTTCTTCAACAGGTGATGCACTCTTGCTTGGATATAACAGAAGCTTCCAGGAGGCTCAGTGCAAAAATGCATCAGCGAATAATCTGTTCAAGAAAAACGAAAAGTTGGTGGACTTCCCCTTTAAGTGTTGTTAAAAGGGAAGATGATGTAACATAGTAGTAAACATGCACCTGACCCAGCTTTTTTGGAGCATGTTGCTTTAGGGCTGTCACGATCATGTAAGTTTAGCTGATGGTTAACTGTAATTGGCTGATCAGCTGTCTTGCTGGCTATATTTACCTAGAACACTAACGCTGGTTATGGTGTTATGTCAATGCTGCACGCACACAAACATCTACAGTTACAGATTTATTTGTAGAGCCGAGTAAAGGCTGCACATCTTCACCAGAGTGAAAATATAAACCCAAAAAAAACACTAATTCTGCCAGCATACATGTTAAAACATCAGAATTAGCTACAGAGCAAATATACAAACATATAAAATATTAGACTGAGGATGAGTATGTTATTGTTGCCAGGCAACCATGGACTACTGAAAGAGGACAACATTCAGTTGCCTGTCACAATACAACAATCAGGCATAACATTATGACCACCTCCTTGTTTCTACACTCATTGTCCTTTTTATCAGCTCCACTTACTATATAGGTGCACTTTGTAGTTCTACAGTTACAGACTGTAGTCCATCTGTTTCTCTGATACTTTGTTAGCCCCCTTTTACCCTGTTCTTCAGTGGTCAGGACCCCCATGGACCCTCACAGAGCTGGTACTATTTGGGTGGTGGATCATTCTCAGCACTGCAGTAACACTGACACACACTGGTGGTGTGTTAGTGTGTGTTGTGCTAGTCTGAGTGGATCAGACACAGCAGTGCTGCTGGAGTTTTTAAACACCTCAGTGTCACTGCTGGACTGAGAATAGTCCACCAACCAAAAATATCCAGCCAACAGCGTCCTGTGGGCAGCGTCCTGTGACCACTGATGAAGGACTAGAGGATGATTAGCTCATACTGTACAGTAAGAGATGAGCTCTATTAGACACAGGTGCGTCTAATAGAGTGGACAGTGAGTGGACACAGTATTTTAAAAACTCCAGCAGCACTGCACACACCAGCACAACACACACTAACACACCACCAGTGTGTGTCAGTGTTACTGCAGTGCTGAGAATGATCCACCACCCAAATAGTACCTGCTCTGTGAGGGTCCATGGGGGTCCTGACCACTGAAGAACAGGGTAAAAGGGGGCTAACAAAGTATGCAGAGAAACAGATGGACTACAGTCTACAGTGTTTAGTGCAAAAACCTCTTATTTATAATCACTATTGTTCACAGAATTACCAATACCTTACCAGTGCAACAACAGTGCTAATTTACATTAACTCTATGCGAGTTTCCAGCACTGAGCTAACAGCATTGTAAGTCCCTTTTCCTCACACCGGGGCTGAATCCAAATGGCTCCCTGCTCCCTACATAGTGCACTATGCAGGACTTAAAATACTGCCTCCTGCACCCCAACAGAGCTTAATATGTCTAAGAAAATATCATTTGGGGTTCATCCACATCTATACTGGACAAATAGTGCCTGGGTTGAATGCTGCCTGAGGCAACATGGACATTTGAAGCATGTAAGACATTAAAGTGACACATTCTTTATTCTTATATATTGCAGTTATCATAAATCATATTTAGTGAATATGGCAGTTTTTAGTTTCACAGGACATTTCAGGAAAAAAAATACTTATGGAGTCCCACAAGGTTAAATTTTAGGGCCTTTTCTCTTCTCTTATATATTGCAGTTTTACAATGAATCATATCATATATATCAGTATTTTAATTCAAAGCTTGTGATTTTAATGGAGATGTTTGATCTTTTAGCCTGTTCTAATTAGGAAAAGAAGTTATCACCCCCAGTTTAAACAGAACCAGGTTCTTACTTCAGAAGAATCAGGTTTTAGGACTGGAACTCTCCATTTTATAAACTGTGTTATATCATTAAAACCAGTAACTGTCCCGTCCCTGCAGGCCAGCAGTAAACCTGTTCAGACAGGTTAGAAAACCATTAACCTACAGTCACCTTTACGGTCATTTCAGTAACACTATTATAAATGTCAAAGTGTAGTTCGGCAAGCACTTCTTACTGCAGTGACCGGACGTGCAAGTGCGAAGGCCGAAGTCCAAAGTTACTTAACATGTAAATGAGTGACCGGTTCTATCCGGTTCTAACAGTAGGTTGTGAGCTGCAACTGAGGGGAAAATCAAAGAGTACGTGGTCATCCTACTACTGTCAGTCACATAACTGTTCCAGTTCTGCTGAATCCCATTTTAATCAATAACTTAGATTAACTGAATATGATCCCTGTTGGAAGTCAAACGCACATCAGCTTGGTTTACATCCACTTTATGAGCTATTTACGGCACTCAGGAGCACAAAAAGCAAGCAATAAAACTAAAATATGTCTTTAAAAAAGGAGGTTTGTGAATTTTACTGCCACATG